CGGAAACGTTTCAAGGCTTTATTTAGCATAGATTCGAATCATAGTCACCACCAGCAACATCTGCGTGGCGACAATACCCGATCATTAGCCGTGTCGGACGCGATGACTCTATCTCGAATATTGACTGATGAAATAATGCGACTAAACGCGTCACGCTTGACAGTTTTAGTTTAGTTCTTATGCTGATGCGGAGAGATGCTGTTATTTTTAGGTAATTCTGGGTTCGGTGCAGTTTTAACTATTTCAGACAAGACATTACAGGTATGTATTCTGTATTTAAAAGAGAGCACGTGTATAGGTGGGTATATGGGGTCATAGCGAATAAAAACATGTGGCCAATTAAGAGGCTTCAGTAGAAGGTGTTGGTAGAGCAACAGCATGGAACGCTGATGATGCCGGTTCAAGTCCTGCCTGAGTCGAAAATTTCTTCAATTTATTATTGATTCTTAAAATAAAACTAGTTTAAGAGTACAATCATGTACAATTGAAAAAAACCTGAAGAGATTATTTTGCCTTTAAAAGTAATTTTAAACACAGCTACCTACATAATATTAAAAATACTTTTTTTTTAATTATTGGAAAGTATACTGTTTTTTCTTGTAGTAGTAATTAACATATAAGTACCGCAGAACGTTTTTTATGTATATAGGTTTTAGTACGTTCTTTATACATATGGTAACTGCTGTAATAGAGATACTTATCAATTTAGGTATTTATATAAATTTAATTTAAGTATTTATAAAAACCTTAATATAGCAATTTTACCTTTCTGAACTGCAATATAAAAGTAACTTAGAAAATAAAAAATATGTCATTTTCTGCAAAAAAAAAACCATAAACGTAAAAAATATTCCTGGGCATGGGAAGGAACAGATGTTACACATAATTATGGTTAATTTATACTTTCACAGGAAGGCGCCAAATACGATTACTCTACGTGACTATAGACAACAATCCTATTGTCTATGATTAAAAAAATACAATCGATTACACCACACAGTGTGTTGCCCACAAATAGAGATGTCTATAATGATACGATGAGTATGATTTTCCCGCCTTCGGGATGGTACTTCCGGTTGTCATTCTTAAACACTAATAGAAATAACATTTTATAATTTAACTCCAACGGTTTTATAAAGCGAAGTATTAAATTTGTTAGTGTATGTTTCGAAAGAGTTGTCTGCTTCTACAACTACACCTTAATGTAATTTTATACAATGTATTTTTTATGTATTACTTACTGTTTAAACTCTTCGTTCCACTAATGTAATTGGCTTCAGCCGTTTTGCTTGTATGAATAGACAAATTGAATAATGCTTTTTGGGCTGCCTTAGGGGTTCTCGACGTTACGCCATCACTAGCGGACGGCATCATCAGGAGATGTTGTCACCTCGATTACTCGAAGAATTAAGAGTCGAGCAATCTTTAATATGCTTAACGATGTCCGTGAAAGCCTTACACGATTTATTAAGTCAAGTTTCGTTTAGAAAAACAAAGGAATGTTTTTCAATTCTCAAATCAAATAGATTATTCAACCTTTAAAATAAATTAGCGACACTTTAAAGGATAGGTAAGGACTTAGGTTTTCTCGAGAGTATTACATGTATGACATAAATAAAGAAAACAATCAACCGGAAATCGAACTTCAGACAACTTAATATTCTTAAACGAGTGTGTACGCACTAGTCTAAAACTGCGTTCGAGAAGAGAAAGCTCGATCAAATATCAATAATTCTAGATAATAATTAATCAATTCGATCGCACAGTGCCTATTAACAGTAATTAATTCCCACCTTCCACCTCCACGTGCAGGCGAGGCCCGGGGCCACCCGCATCCATCCTTATTACGATTTATGTGTTAAAACTAAATTGAGATGTGTTATAATGACCGCTCCAAAATTATTATTGCGGTTAGAAGAAGTCGCGGTAATGATAGCGGGTGTAACACAGAGAACGATGAAAAGGTTGACTGTTTATTTGCTGATGATTTTTTTTAACACCAAGATTTATAGGAATACTTACTTTAGACAAGGTTTAAAAGAAATCTATAAAAACCAATATTTGCTACTAATAAAACGACAAAAAACACCAAAAAGACACTTAAAGCAAAAAGTAGGTACCACTTAATAAAAATAACATACATTGTGAGAATAATTTATTAAATTTATACGTATACTACACAAAAACATGCTTTATTGATTTTAATACGAAATAATGTCAAATGCGCAATCCACACCCAGAATACAATCAGAATCGAATAGATGCGTTGAAGTTAACCCAAGTTGGACCCCTAATGACTCTACTCGTAGTTAGCTTGCTTCCGTTTACAATTCCAACCAAATATTAAATATAGGGTAACAGTGGTATACCAAGCATTTACATTTGTTACTTCACAATAATTTTGGTACTCTGTTTTGACGCATGAATATTTAACACTAAAAAAACAGTGATGCATGAACTAAAACATCATTCTTGAGGTACAATCTACACCTATTAGAATTTCGAACTACCAATCAGATAAGCACTAACCTTAATATTGAAATAGAGTATAGACGATTCAAAGTATTCTGCAAATATTTGCTGTTATAAATGTACTTAATTGTTTGCAATACAATTGGATGTCGACAACATAATTTATATAAGTAGAGTGAAATTACGGACACAAATGATCATAGAGAGGATCAGGTAGATCGGTACAGCATGAGCGTGTTGCTCTGTTGACAGTACATTGAAGTCTAGCCTGTCCAATGCGAAATTAGTTTTAATTCGCTGATCAAATCAAATTAAGTTCAAACAAATCTAATAAATAATTGGTAATAATCGATGTCGCTAACATTTTTAGATAATGTAAAGAGATATTCAAACACTCATTTCCCACGGTTTTTCATTTCTATCTAATGACTTTTAATTTGTAGGTAATTATATATTTTATTTCGCTATTAAGATGACTAACCTTAGCTCCATATATCGTACAACGATACATTTAAGATGGAACGTATATTAACAAAACTCTTTTAAATGTGTATTATGAAAAAATATATCTATATAATAATTATGTAAAAGTCAAATTGAGTCCTAATAATAAAAGACGGTAATTGACCGGAAATCGAAATGATTAGCCAATCATAGCGCGGGAAAGTGCAATATGGCGTCGAGTTAGCTCCGTGGGAAATGGCGCGTAATTAGAGCTCCTATATGAAATTGGATTTGTAATGTAAAAACTTTTCCTTTATTTAATATCTTTATTTTATCGACGTCCTTTTCTATCTTCAAATAAAGAATTCATTTCTTGTTTTATTATTATATGAGAGTTAAATTTTTCATTACGAAAAAATCACAATTATATACCTAATTATTTACAATTTACGTAAATACGTCATATATACACGTACTATATGCATATTTAGTTAAATATATCGCTTTTACATTTTGATTTACCTATTATATACTACCAGCCAACTGATAGTAAATTATTGTTGATGTAACGAATGAACTTATCAATCTGTAACAAATCTGCAATATACCTATTAGACAACTTATCTATATAATACGTCCTATTAAATTATCTTTGTACTATATTATTTTTTTAGTAGTTTTATCAGTCTTAGTTTCTAGGAATATTTCGTTAACGAAGCGCAGTAGTATTGGTTATTCATTAATGATTAGTAAAGTTAAAAATGTGTATTTAATGTGTGTAAATTAATTTAATAAACGTTAGGTATGTACCTATCAACACAATTACGTTGATTACTTTTTTAGCGTGACGTTGATTTGGATTTGAAGTTTCGGTAACTAAATACCTACTCTATGTACTAACATAAAATGAAAGTTCTTCCTAGCTTTAGACTCCGTTTTAATTACAGATACAGTACAAATATAAAATATTAGTTATAGTTTAAAATGACAAGCATACATTTTCTTCTATTTACTGTATGCAATATAACAATAGACGCATTAACAGCAGGTGCGGTTAACAAATCATCATGTTGTAATGAATAATCATCAGAAACACAAGTCAATGTCATATTAGATTACTTTTTCCACACCGGTTAACGTGCTCAAGACGCGTGAAGTTACCTACCGCCAAATGTAAACAAACCTTACAAAATGGCCGCCGTGCGTGTAACTAATTTTAATGGAATTTTTGTTTCACTTTTTGCATGAATTGGAGTTTGATATTTATTTAATCAGTTAACAGGTGGAACCTCATACAGCAATAGATTGTTGTCTATTTATTAATTATTATTATAATAGGTAACTAACTTTTATTAACTTAATTTTGCTTGTGAAGAACTAAGCTGAAATGATGATAAGTGCATGTTGAAAATATCTACCGATAGCAAATATTTTCTTGACTAAGCTTAGTAAATATAGGCAGAATCAATAATAGATAAACTTAAATAATGTTTTTATTTAGCTAGGTAAGTTAAGGATGGGTTACTTCACAAATACATATCCCATAAAATATAAACTCAATATTAAAATAGTAAAATGAAGAGAAACATATTAATAAATATACCCAGCCAGCCGTGTGTTGCCAGCTCCACTATAAATCTAACAACCATTCCATACGACAGACAATTAGCCGATGAACTATAAATGAAGAAAAGTGGCAATTTCTCGAGTGACAAACGTCAGTCTTATCGGCGCTAAATAATGGAGCCGTAGTTAGAGCCGCGTCTTCATCCCGGTAATTAAACGGGCCTCCGCTCCTGCCCGGCTAAATTAATCACCACGGATCTTTCCCCCCAATCCGGGCCCGATTAAAAACTTTTATTGGAGCACCGCGTGCGTCAACGAGCGAGCGGGCGCCGACCAATCGGCGCGTACCCGCACTAACGACGCGGCTCGCCATTGGTGGTTTGTCTCCAAGCCACGCCCATCCAGCCCGCCCGGATCGAGGTTGTCACAGTCCACGTCAGTTGATCGAGGCGCGTCGATCCGTCAGCCGTATCCCGTGTTATCGCTCTGTGAGTTGTGTGATGGATGTGAATTGAACTATGGAGGAGGAGTCAATGTCAGGGCATAGCTGTTCTGAAGACGATATCAGCGTCGGGCGACCGTCGCCCGCGCCGTCGCGGTCTCCCTCGCCCCAGGATTACTTTAGGCCGTTGAAGAGATTGAAGATGGCCTCCGAGCCGGTGGAGGAGAGACGGGGCGAAGGCGTCAAGAGTTTTTCGATTTTGGACATTTTGTCGCACAGCCCGCGTACTCCGCCGCGCATTGTCCGCCCGTGGGACGCGTCGGGTTTCGAGCGGTTGCAGCGGCTGCAGAGGTTGGCTGGTGCCGCGCTGTTGGACGGCGAGAGATGGAGGTTAGCAGCTCTGGGTCTGCTTCGGCCGAGGGAGATGACGGAATGCTGTGACAGCGCTTCGGAGAGGTCGTCTTCAGCGTCCGATTGCTGCTCGGAGCCGCGACGCGCGCCGCAGCAAGGAACGGCTCCTCATACACCCCTGGATGCACTGTTCCACATGACGAGCAAGACTTTCGAAGCTAACAATCCTGACAATGGAGGTAAGATTCTATTTGTAATTTATACAGCTTGCTTTAGTCATATCTGTAATTAGGTATCTTATCGGAATCCTATTCAAAAACAATGTGATTATATCGGCGTTGACTGTTTCATCTCTTAATTAATTTATTACAAAATATTGCCACAGAAGAATGCACCTAAGCTAGCCACGGAATTGACAGGAGTAAAGTTTTTAATTAACTCTCTTTTCTCTTCGTTATACCTACAAGAATTTTAAAATAGGGTAGATACACACACCCATTTATTTTATAAAGTAAAGAGTTTCCTTTATTCGGAGATAACCTATATTATATACTATATTTTATAACATTACGTGTCTTTAACGAGACAAAAGTAACGTTTTATTTTAACATCAGCCATTTTACATTCGTCCACAAAATCATGCAATTTATTTATATAAAAGTAATACATATGCAACCAAATCAAAATTAACCTTAAACCAGACGAGACCTCAAACCTCTCAAATAAATTAATTAATAAACTGTTTCTAATTTTGTAGATAAGAGATAAATACAAATAAGTAATTTCACAATAAAAATTATCTAGTTTTAGATATATTTCGTTTTAGATAACGATAATGATCAACTAGGATTTAGTTACAATTTGGGATCTAGCTAACCCAAATTGTTTTTACAAGCCTACAAAATCACCATTATATAAATAATAATCATTATAATAATTTACACTATGTATTACCTCTGTAAATATACTTAATATGTGGGCAATAGTAAATAACAGGACAATTACCGATTCATGTTCCGTCCTTGGTTCGAATTGCATTATTATTTATCTACAAAATACCTGTCATAAGTATGACAAATGACAGTCGTGTAAATGATATTATTATAAGATACCGACGGTGGCTCATTGGTTGCATTTCATTGCTTTATGCGTGTGGTTCGACATCCTGAGAGGATGATACAAATCAAAACTTAAGTCTGGACAAAATCAACCAGTCAATGGACATAGAAATATGTCCGCCGCATTCCTCATCTTCCAGAGCAAGTAGTTTTGGTTTATTTAATATTTAGATAGATTAACGTATGTTTCAATGTTTTTATCACAAACATAAAAATTATTAATATGTAGTAATATATCTTACTATACTTAGTATTTCTACATAAACTGAATTGATTTGACGGGTTCATTGGTGTAAAGATAGTACGGTACGGCTAAACAATGGGTCGTGGGTTTGGTCCCCACCGTGTCCACAATATTTCTAATGAGTTTATTGTATAATTTTTAGAAACCCAGGTTTCTAGACAATTACAACATGGACTTCGTCCAGAAATCTGGGTCCGGGTCACGAACCCACGTCCACAGATGAAATAGCCACGAAATTTAGGTTTCAGTCTGTAATTTTCCGAATATACAAAGCCAAAATAGAAATTCCTTTAAGTGTAACAAAGTGAACTAATACATGTCGCCGTAAACGTTAATAGTGTTTTATTTAGTAACTTACAACTTCTTCACTTGCAGCTAAACAAAAATAAAATAGGTATAGATTTAAATAAAAAAAACACTTTAACGACTTAAAACAAGAAAGCTGCTGCAAAGCATCCGGAAAGTCGGCCTGTTACTAATATACTTACTATTTAACTAATATATATTGCTTTAAACCGTTAAAGTCTTTTATTTAAATGTGTACTACTCGCGTAAAGTACGGACAGTATTTAGTATAAAGATACCTATATACATCATAATTTAAAAAGTACTCTCTAACAATTAAACCGCCTCTGTAGCCAAATGGTTTAACGTATAGCCTAGCATTGCGTTTAGAGAGGTCCTGGATTCGGATCCCAGGGAAACATAAAAAAATGTTTCGATCGGGCAGGGCACAGAAGTCTGATCAACTACTTGCCCGTTAAAAGAACGGATCAATGAAACGGACACAGAAATGCGTTCGCCCCATGCCCCACGAGGGGAAAACGGGCTTTCACTCAAACAATTAAATACCTAGTAAACAGCGTTTTGATATACATCGTAGATATAGAACTTACACTTAGACCCTTAGACCCTATTATGTTTTATGTCGCTGTTATTTCAAGGAAAAACTGCTAACTATGGTATACGGTAGTAGGCTGTATATATTTACAAGAGTCATCAAATTCGTATTAAGCATTCTAACACTAACAACTCCAATTGGCCACTTGCTCTAATGAGTTCCCAATGATTATAAGCTTTTGCCTTTTACTTCTGCACAACGATTATTTTATTATTACGATTGATGTATCTTTTTTATGATAGAGGAGGCCATATAACATTTAATCTAGATGTGCTATCGACCTATTTTGGCTCTGGATATTCGGAAATCCATACACTGAAACCGAAACGCGATTAATCTTCACGGCTTCGTCACCTGTGGACGGTGGTTCGTGACCCGGACGGAATTTCGATATTCCCACCAGCCATTTAGTCTCCAGATTCCCGTTAAATTTCGACTTTTAACGGTTAAAACGCGAAATATATCAGTTAACTTTTTTTTAAATTTATTTTAACTACGTTACCGGAAGTCACGGTTGTAAAACGTCGGGCCGTAGATAAATTATATTAAAAATAAGTATTAAAACCAATGTATTTCGCGTTCTAAACCGTTGAGTGTTATATTTAAAGCTGTCGGTATAAATAGAAAAAAGGGGGTTCGCTTACTTTATGGTAATTTAACTATTAATAGAATTAATATTTATTATACATATATAATATAATATATATAATGTTGTATATAATTGTATGTATATAAGTTCCGAATTTTCTAAGCCAAAAAAAGATTGAGAGAAGAAAGAGGCTGGGGTACTGTCTATAGTTTACGCGAGTAGTACACATTTAAATAAAACACTTTAACGGTTTGAAACGCGATATATTAGTTAAACTTGTTAGAAAATGATTTTTAACTTCGGCCCGACGTTTCGCATGCTTTGCAGCAGCCGTGGTCACGGGGAGACTCCGAAGCATCCGAAACGTCGGGCCGAAGTTAAAAATCATTTTCAAATAAGTTTAACTAATATATCGCGTTTTAAACTGTTAAAGTGTTTTATTTAAAAGGCTGGGGTATTTCACCTTCCATCAACTGAACTCCATGTTTATTTGTCTTCGTCTAGATATCATAAAAAAATACTTTCTTTATTTTACGTGAGAAATACATTTAAATAAAACGTAAAAGATTTCGCATTTCATTGTATCTTATGTATAGATAATTCAAGACGCCTAAATATTACATTAGTAGCGTTCCATAATATGCGCAGACGCAGTGTGTCAGATTAAAAATTGTACTCCATTGCTCCGGACACACAAGACGGCTCGCGGTCCAATAACACTCATTGCCCGAATACAAAGAGATATTATGCTAACACGGCTAATATCGACTGCTTTGTGTGGGAATAGGTGATTATTTTATGATTATAGAGCGGCTTTCGTAATTGAAAGATCTCTGAATGGCGCATCTGCGAGCGGCGCGCGCGCTCTGTCATTATTCGATCGTGTTTTTTTTTAAATTGTCATCGATGATTTTGGCAATTGCCGGCCGGTGCATACATTGCGTGGTCGCCGCTCGCGCCCATTTTACGTACATTGTAGGTAATATTTGGCGTTTAGTGAGCCTTCGAAATGAAGAAATTATTTAAGGATGAACGGCTGAAAAAAAATCGGTTGACTTTTTTATCTGTACCATTCATTTATGTATAATGTAATGAATTTAAATACAAAATGGTTTTGTGAGTTGTGCTTAGGTTTTTCTAGTTTTGATAATAATGAAAATAACTAAATACACCACTGGTATCTTAACATACGTATTAGGTATTCTTTACATAAAACCTAAAGTACCAGTTTGTCTAAGCAAAAGATTGTTAGTCCATCAAGTGTTTTAAATAAAGAAATTAACCAGAAAGACCCACAGTCCTATTGAAGAACGGAACTATTTAAAATTAGCGCCTCTCACAAAGACATTTACGATATTAACCACTTTATAACATAACAGTGAATCAATGAGCTCTCAAAGGCCCGAAAGTTACACGCAGTCATTCAGCTGCGCCTTTAGAAAACATATACGAACGTAATTTATACAGACGTTGCAAAAACGCCATTGTTAATGCCACAAAAGAAGATATCATAGCTATTAACGAAAGGCATTCTAAATTTGAAAAGGGCGGGACGCGAATGACTAGAGTTGCCAGTTTCAAGTGTTAAAATCGCCTAAAGTAATGATTAATTAAATGCGTCTACTTAGTTTTGTCAAGATGACGTGACAATTGACTTATTATAAGACGATTGTTTTTACTTTTAAAGTAATAGAGCTGTACGATATGTTCTGTAAAAACACACTTGTCAAATATTTTGCCCATAAACTGTATAATATAAGTTCTTTCCAACAAAACTTCAGTTAGTTTTATTAACGAAAATATACTTAGAGATTATGCATTTTTCAGTCTTCAAATTCGAAATTATATGTTTAGGTTGGCGTAATATTTTTATTTGTAACTAAACAAAGTAGACAGTTATTAACTTTTTTAATATTTTTGCCGTCAAATAACCATGCATTGCTTAGCATTGAATTAAGTGCGATATGTGAGATTCTAAAGACCTACTTGTGAAAATAAAGACCAGACTAAAAAATACAAAGCCCTACATAGGGAAAACGTACTTCAAAGCCACGTTCTTAATGTGAATAACGTTTAAAAATAACGGCTGCTTCGGAAAAAAGCGTAAAATATCTTAATTATAATGGCTTCTACCACATCCCTAGATTATCACAGAAAAATATTGAAGCCATTTGTCATTGACACTAGTTGATTGAGGAAGTTATTTCTCGTTTTCCTAAACGGAAATGTTTTTTACCCCCACCGCGGGGTAATAATGATTATTGTTCGGAACATCTATATCATTATGACGTCCATTAGACAAATGTATCGCGGATGTTATGTAAATCATTTCCATATCAGAGAAAAATCTGATAGCATGGCCTAATTGTTACACTAGCAACACTTTTAGAAACAAATCGGATATCTGCACTTAACGTATATATTGCTTAGTACAATTTATTAGAAATTTTGAAATATTAAAAGCACTTGACATTATATATCATGTTTGGAAGTTATACTTCTTTTAGGATAATTCGTTTCGTTACGTCACGCATTACAGCGGCAAATCAAATCAGTCAAAAAATAGTTTCTTTTTATTAATTTCTTCAAATCACACATCCTTACGGAGATTCCATTGCGATAAAATATAATAATTATTAAATAGGAAATTAATTCAATTTTATAAACAATAATGCTTACATCTTTACAAAAGTAATGTTTATGCAGCAACCATAATCTACTTTCAGAACGCCTGAAATATTTACACGTGTAAAAAAAATACCTGTGTGTTGTATTAAATGTGTATTTATTTGGGAACATTTATTTAGAGGTTTCCATGACTTAAGCAACATAAAATAAAAATACAACATACAGGGACATATGTCTGTATCCAATATTTTGTCTAAAATCTTCAAAAAATGTTTAAAATCTGAAAATTTGCCTAGTTTTACACAAGCGGAACAGCGCGGCGCTACTAGCGGACTTTATATGTAGTTTATATTGTTACAAAATAAATATCATGTTGTATCGTTGAATATGACATTA